CTCGGCCCCGGGCCAACTTCGGCACACCCCTCACGAGGAACGTAGGCCATAGGGAGCTCCACCGAAGGCCCCCATAGGGAGCTCCACCGAAGGCCCCGGTGGCTGCGTTCGCATGGCGGCCTCGGGCCATTTCGGCACACCCCTCACGAGGATCGTGGCCCCATAGGGAGCTCCACCGAAGGCCCGAGTGGCAGGGTTCGCATGGCGGCCTCGGGCCATTTCGACACACCCCTAACGAGGACCGTGGCCCCATAGGGAGCTCCACCGAAGGCGCCAGTGGCAGGGTTCGCATGGCGGCCCCGGGCCATTGCGGCACAACCCTCACGAGGATCGTGGCCCCATAGTTGTGCTGCTTCAACAACCGCGCCTGGGCGTCGTACTCCGCCTTGTCGACGTGCAACGCCACCTCCTCCCTCATGGCTCTCAAGGCCCTCTCCTGCTTCTGCTCCTCGGTGGGAGGGACGCCGTCCTTGTCGTCGTCGGCGCCCGCGAAGACGGCCACGAACGTGTCCCTGAGCATGTCGGGCTCCGCCAAGATGGTATTCACAATTGCAGTATTGTCACAACAGCATATGGTTGGGTCCTTCGCCAGGTTATTTTTTAGGGTAGTGTCACAGGTTTCGTGGCTCCAAGACGCGTTCCCATTGTTTTTTTGTTTAAATAGGTTTCGGCAATCGCACTCCTGGGAGGCCCCCCCGCCCACTCAGGCCCCAGACAATAGGGGAACCAAGAGGAAAAGAGATAATAGGGAACCAAGAGTCCACAAGACAATATGGGGGAACCGAGTGGACAAGAGACAATGGGGAAACGAAGAGGACAATAGACAATGGGGAAACCAAGAGGACAAGAGACAATGTGGAAACCGAGAGGACAACAGCTACGCCAGCATCATCGCTAACGTCTGCATCAGCATCTACATATACAACTACATCAACACGTATATGAACGACACAACGCTGATCTACGCATGCACCGAAGACACATCACGTCACATAGTTAATCTTAAACGCTGTTCCCTATTAATAAACACCCCCTCCCCCAGGCGACTGGGGGCCAACCAGGGTCCATGCCTCCCCCCCCACCATCCCTGGTAAAAAAATACAAAACACACTCTGCCTCCCAATTCGGAACATGCGCAGCCAACCCGATGCGCCCCCCCACCATCCCTGTTAAAAAACAATACAGAGTACACTTGGCGGCGGCGGCGGCTGCGGCGGCTGCGGCGGCGGTGGCGGCGGCTACGGCGGTGGCGGCGGCTACGGCGGTTGCGGCGGCGGCGGCGGCGGCGGCGAGGGGGGCGGCGGCGGCGGCGGCGGCTGCGGCGGCGGCGGCGGCGGCGGTGGCTGTGGCGGTGGCGGCAGCGGATGCGGCGGCCGGTTTGGCAGGGGGCGGCGGCGATGGCGGCGGCGGCGGCGGCGGGCGGCGGCAGGCGGCGGCGGCGGCGGCGGCGGCGGCGGCGGCGGCTTGCCCCCCAGTTGCTGCCCATCCACAGACGACTGCTGAATATGCTGAGGCTCGGGCCAGACTCGGGTGCTACGTATGTGTTGGGAGGGCGGGTGGGAGTGAGCGAGACGGCTTGCGGGCGGGGAGGGGGTAGCTTGAAAGTCACCTTCCCCCCCCCCTGCGTCCCTGCCCCCAGCGCCAGAAGTGGGGCCCCCCCGCGCCGTGGCTCTCTGCTCCGAGCCCCCCCGCCCTTGCCCCCTCCGCCACGAACGCTTTATTCCGCGTCGCCCCCCCCCCCGCGTCCCCAGCGCCAGAGTGGGACCCCCGCGCCGTGGCTCTCTGCCCCGAGCCCCCCCGCGTCCCCAGCGCCCCAGCGGGGGCCCCGCCCACTGCCCCTTCCGCCACGAACGTTTCATTCCGCGTCGCGCACCCCCTTCCCCCCCCCGCGTCCCCAGCGCCAGAGTGGGACCCCCGCGCCGTGGCTCTCTGCCCCGAGCCCCCCCGCGTCCCCAGCGCCCCAGCGAGGGCTCCGCCCACTGCCCCCTTCCGCCCCGGACGCTTCATTCCGTGTCGCGACGCGCACCACCTCCCCCACCTCCCTCCCCGCGCCCCCAGCGCCCCAGTGGGGGCTCCCCCCCGTGCCCCCTCCGCCCCGGCAATTTCATTCTGCGTCGCGACGCGCACCACCTCCCCCACCTCCCTCCCCGCGCCCCAGCGCCCCAGTGGGGGCTCCCCCCCGTGCCCCCTCCGCCCCGGCAATTTCATTCTGCGTCGCGACGCGCCCCGCTTCCCCTCTGCTCCCAGCGCCCCAGTTGGACCCCCGCCCCGTGGCCTTTGCCCCAAGCCCCGCCCAGTGCCCCCTCCGCCCCGACCATTTTATTCCGCGTCGCGACGCACACCACCTCCCCCCCTCCTCTCCGCGCCCCCAGCGCCCCAGTGGGACCCCCGCCCCGTGCCCCCTCCGCTCTGAGCGCTTTATTCCGCGTCTCGACGCATGCCACCTCCCCCCCCTTCCCCACCTGGGATTCGGGCCCCGTTGCTGGGCCCCGAGGGGCGATGTCTTGCCCCCGCTTCCCCCCTCCTCCTCCACCTCCTCCTCCTCCTCCTCCTCCTCCTCCTCCCCCTTCCTTTTTGTGCAAGAGCCATGGCACACGTGCCCCTTGTTCAGCCATCCGCGGGTGGGCGAGACACCAATCGACCCCGCGTATTGGACCATGTCAGCAGCTTGCTTGAGAGTGGGCTGTAGCTAAGGCCTAGTCCGATACAGCCCGCCACACTTTCGACGTAGAGCGCAGTTGAAAAGTCTCACGGTATGGTTCAGAAAAAGGATGGCATGCCTTCGGCGCACCTTTGAGATTTGTTGCTTTGCCCCGAGCGTTGGGTATGGCCTTCGCCTGTCCAATTCTACGCAGACCAGTCGAGAGTGCAGATTTCAGATCTGGTTCAGCCTTGCCACTCAGAGTGAAAGTACCGAGCGGCATTACATTGTCAGTGGGGGCGTGGCTGAATTTGCAGTCCGTTCGCGGGCGGAAAACATGTCCGTATCCACGGCCGCGCGGTCTGGACTCTTGCACGCCGGTCGTTGAAAGTAGGTTCTTTTGGCTTCCAGATTTCGACTTACTTCAAGTCCTTTCCTACTTCAGGAGCCGATCTGCTTCTGCTGTGTCCTGTTATTCTCTGGGATGGCCTGAGCCCAATCTATTTTATCCGTCTTCTTACTTCATGTTTTTTCCTACTTCTTCCGACCGGCGAGTAGGCCGTGGCCCTATGGATATGGGGCGGCTTTGCGCGGATGCCCCGCGCGGAACCTAACCGTGGGATTGTGTATCCGTGGGATCGCGCCTCGGTTTCCGGGCCGCGAGTCCGTGGATATGGACACGACCTTCGCTCAGGATCCGTGGCAGGGAGCCTTGTTCTTCTTCGTGCAGCTCCTGTCGCCACCGCCCAGCGCCCCGCCCGGCGACCCGCCCGCGGCCCGCCTCGTGAACCGCCCAGCGATCCTCCAACGATCCACCGAGCCGCCAGCGTCCAGCGCACGCCGCAGCCGCTGCCCGCCCAGACCCGCGCCCAGCAGGGCCCATCCGGCGGCTTGTGCCGCGACCTGCTTGCGGCTCGCGCTCGCTCCACGCCTCGCCCAGCGACCCCGCTGCGAACCGTGGGCGACCAGATCAAGATCGTTTTCCCTGCTGCTGGGCTGGCTCCGCAGGAAGCTCAATGAGGTGAGTCGCAGGAGCTTCTTCTTGGCGGCAGCATTCCAATCACGCGCCAGTCCGCTTCATGCCCGCACCTTCAGGTCATCAATTCGGCGTATGACAGTTGCCACCGCCATTGCGTCATCACATGCGCATGCACCAGCCATTCTGTAATCCCCACCACTGTCCGTAGCGTTGCGGTGGCCCCCATCAGCACTGTGATTTTGAAGTGGGCACGTTTGCTGTCATGATGTAGCCAATTTGGCTCGACAGATGTAGCGTGAAGCGCTATCATTTCGCCACCGCTGCAGGACGCGATGCCGCACGCATGTGGTGCGGCTCCCCTGTCCTCTTTCGTCATGGACACGATGAAGGACGCCATGGAATACCCGGTCCCGTGCCGAGAGAGGGCGAGATCGCTCGATCGCGGCTCGATCGTGCCGCCGATCTGTCGATCTGGGCGGGAGTGGTTGCCCGGCCCCCTGATCGCTAGAGTGATCTGGCCGGCGGGGGTGCTCCTGAGGCCACGGGCGTGGTGTTGGACCCGCCTTCCAAGAAGTACCTGCTGGCGCCCGACTACTGGAACTACTGGGGAGGGCCCACGAGGCCTTTTACTCCCGCGTCGAAGACCCTCTGGGTGAACTCCCCGCCGGCGACCTGGTGGGAGCAGCGCTCGGAGTGGCGCGACACGTGGAACCGGCTATCCGATGGGGAGGACCAGCCAGCCAGGTGGCCGCTGAAGGGCACGCCGCCGCTCACCGAGAAGGAGCGGTGCAAGCCAGTGCCTGGCCTCCTCAAAGAGCCGGACGGCAAGCCGAACCTGTGGTGGCAATGGCTCGAGAAGCCCAAAGGCGGCGACTTGGGCGCGAGTCTTCTGGACGCAGCCAAGTCTGAGGCCAAGGCGGCTGCGGCGTTGCCCACCGGCGACCCCGAGCAGACAGAATGCCCGAAAGGAATCGAGCTGAAGGATCCGGTCGTGGAGCACTGGGGGAAGCCCACGAAGCTCGCGGAGGAGGGCAAGAGGGTGGACGAGGAGCTGGAGCACCCAGCCGTCGATGACGCCGAGGGCGGTGTCGGTAAAGGTATGTCTCAGGGGGCCGGGGGCTCCGCCGGCAGCGGTGCGCGAGGCGGCGAGAAGATGTTCGATCCGAGCTCGCCGCCAGCGGTGACTTCCGAGCAGGACGCCTGGCTCCGCGCCAACACGTTCCGGCGTCAGACGCTGCCGGGCTACCCGCGCCCGCTGCTGCCCGACGGGCTACGGGGGGCGACTCCTAGGCTCTCCCGCTTCGATGCGACCAACCAGCCCGCGACGATGGACCCGCGCCTGCTGGACCCACCGCTGCCGCCGAACAAGCGCCTGTACTCGCCAGACAAGATTCGTAAAAAGATGACGCTAAAGATTTACGACGGCAAGCTGAAGGGCGGCCTGATGAAGATGTTAGGCGAGAAGCTTCAGGAGGAAACGACCGGGGGCACTACGTTGGAGCACGGGGCTGGGCAACGTAATACAGTGAAGTGGGCCTCTTTCCTCGGGAGGTATTTTCCTCCCGCCTGCCTCCCATCCTCTGGAAGAAAGTGGGGAAGAGGAAAAAGGGGAGGACGGATGGAGGAGGTTACAGGAGGGGGAAGATGATGATGATGATGCTGATGCTGATGGTGATGCTGATGATCCATGATGATGCTGATGAGTATGATGATGCTAATGACGATGTTGATGATGATGAGGATGTTTATGATGGGGACTATGATGATGTTGATGCTGCTGATGCTGATTATGAAGATGGTAATGATGCTGCTGATGATGATGATGCTGTTTATTATGGCGATAATATGATGATGTTGGTGGTGGTGATGAGGATAATGATTACTCTTGTGAATGTGATGGTTGTGATGATGATGATGATGACGATGATAATGATAATGACGCTGTTGCTGCTGCTAATACTAATGCTGCTGTTGATGATTATGATGATGGTGGTTGTGGTGATGATGATGTCGATGATGATGTTGCTGCTGTTGATGGAACGGATCACAATGGTGCTGCGGACGTTGCTGATAATGCTGATGACCCTCATGATGCTGGTGTTGTTTATTGTTCTGATGCTACTGGTGCTACTGATGATGAAGAGAATGAGGATGACGGGCAGGAGGATGATGGGGAGGAGGAGCAGGAGGAGGACGATGAGGAGGTTGAGAAGGAGGAGGAGGAGGACGTGGCGGAGGAAGGAGAGAAGGAAATCATCGACGAGGATGAGGATGGCGGATCAGGAGGTGACGAGGACGAGGAGGTGACGGAGGAAGAGACTGATGATGATGATGATGATGATGATGATGATGATGATGATGATGGTGATGATGGTGATGATGATGATGATGATGATGATGATGATGATGATGATGATGATGATGATGATGAGTGAAGAAGAAGAAGCAGAGGTGTGGGCCCAGTGGGTGAGGACGGAGTCGCAGGGCAATGACGACGGAGAGGAGAAGGATGAGGAGGACGAGGAGAAGGAGGAGCAGGAGCAGGGAGAATAGGAGGAGGCGAGAGAGGGTAGTAGCACTGAATAGGGTGAGGGGGAGGCGAAGGAGGAGGGTGAGTGGGACGAGGAGGATACGGATGACGATGATAATGATGATGCTGTGTTTGAGGATGATGATGGTGATGATGTTTTGTTAATGATAACGATGAGGATGACGATGACTATGACGACGACGATGACGATGCCAACGATGTCGATGATGACGATGACGATGACGATGATGATGATGCTGATGATGATGATCATGATGTTGATGATGCTGATGGTGATGATGTTGCTGATGTTGACGATGATGAATTTGATGGTGATGATGATGATCATGATGATCATGATGGTGATGATGATGATGCTGGTGACGATGAGGATGGTGATGCTGATGATGATGCCGACGATTTTGATGATGATGATGATGATGATGCTTATGATGATGATGATGATGATGATGATGATGATGATGATGATGATGATGATGATGACAATGATGATGATGATGATGATGATGATGATGATGATGATGATGATGCTGATGATGATGATGATGATGATGATGATGAATGATGATGATGATGATGATGATGATGATGATGGTGATGATGATGATGATGATGATGATGATGATGATGATGATGATGATGATGATGATGATGATGATGATGATCATGATGCTCATGATGCTCATGATGCTCCTGATGCTGATGCTTTGGGCACAGCGGACATTATAGTTGAAGGAAGGTCTCCGCAGCTTCCTCGGATCGAGCCCGCCCCGCGCTGCGCGCTGGGCGCGCCCGCAGTTGATGCGTGGAGGGCCCGCGGCCAGAGCACGGGCGGTCCACGAGCCTGCCCCTTTCTTCGAGGCGTACTCAAGGCCCACTTCCTGCGGCGAGGAGGCCGCGCCAGAGGCGGCGGAGGAACCAGAGGGGGCCCCCTGGGTCGTCATCGTGGACAGCACCCAGCGCGGGCCGATCAGAGGCGCAGCAGATGCCGAACCTGTCGTTCGGGCCTAGCTTGTCGCTGGCAGCCACTGCTGCCCAATTTGGGCCGCCAGGGGTTCAAGCGAGGACCTCGTCGGGGTGCGCAGTGGAGGCGCGGTCGCGTGGCAGACGATCGTCGCCAGACTCGGAGACGGCAACTACATTGACGGTTGGAATATCATGCGTCGGTCCCCGTTGCTGGGCGAAGCAATGGACAGGTTCTTCGACTAGCAGCGGGACTACTCATACACCGTCATGGTCTTCAAGTGGACCCAGGCGCAATAACGACGTTGCCACCGGGTGCGCTGAAGCAGACGGGGGACGTCCTCCTTCGCTCGTGGCTGCTCGAGCTTCCTATTGCTGGGGCCCGAGCCGCGGGCGCGGCAGCGGTGCGAGGCCCGCGTCGTCGGCGTCGAGTTCGTGGGGCTCGATGGGCCCGTCGCCGTCGACACCCTGACGGAGCCGTCTGCCTCCCGCACGACGCCGGCTCGCTCGCCTCCGTATTGAATGTCTCGGCGACGCTGCGGTCGGCCCGTGGCGAGGGGGTGTCAGCGGATGTGGCCTGCGTGAAGGTCTCGCCCGCGATCCTACCGAGATTCACCGAGAGAGCATTGTGGAGGATGAGGTGGCTGAGGTCTTCGACTCAGCCGGCGAGCCTGCCCGGCGAAACCTGCTCGAGTTGGCCGATCTCGCCTCGCAGCCCGACGACATGATCATCGGGATCCTGCTCCGCTTCGGCGCGTTCCCCGACCTCGCGCCCCAGGGCGATCCAAGGCGCATCGGCTTCAGCTCTCGTACCTCGCCGCCGACGAGCGCGATGGCGAGGGCGTGGAAGACGACGAGGTCGGCGCAGCTGCCGCGCAGAAGCGAGCGCGAACCGCGAGGGTGGCCCGCCCGCGTCGACGCCGCGGCCATCGCCGAACTTGGCGGCGACGCCACTGGCGTGCGAGCGCTTCTGGGAGGTGCTCGTGTCTCTCCACGCGCTGCGCGCGTCGCAGCGGCGCGACCTCCTCGGCGCCAGGATCGGCCAGTTTCTGAGCTCCACGCAGCAGCCAGTGGATGCGAGCGGCTCTTGGAGGCCGGCCTGGCCGATGACGGGGTTCCCAGGCCCCTCGGCCCAGAGCGGGTCAGGCGGCGAGAGGCGTTGCATGCCCCGCAGAGTTCGCAGCCTCGGTCGCCAATTTGCTCGAGACAGCGGCGATCGATGGCGCCGGGAGAGGGGGCGGGGGTGCCGCCCAGGGCCGCGCTGGCAAGGGCGGCGTCTGCGGCGAGAGGTTGGAACAGTGGGTCAACAAGAAGGAGCAGGGCGGCGGCGGCGGCGGTGGGGGAGGCGCGCGATCGTCTCCAGATGGGACGGGCAGTTGATACAAACACCGAAGGGGGCCAGCTCAGGAGTCGGGCCCTCGTCGCCACGGTTTACGACGCCGACTTCGCAATCCGCAGTTTTTTTTTTTTTTTTTTTTTTTTTTTTTTTTTTTGTTTGTTTGTTTGTTTTTTCTTTCTTCTCCTCTCTCTTCCACCCCCTTCTTCTTCTTTCGCTCTCTCTCTCTCTCTCTCTCTCTCTCTCTCTCTCTCTCGCTCTCTCGAGGCGGGGTTTTCCAAATTCGCCCCGACGCGTCGGCGTGGCCTCCGGCCTTATCAAGAGCTGCTCATGCCCTGTGGGCCTTTCCACAAGTGGCGAGACAGTAGAGCTGCGCCGCGATCGCCGCGCAGACGTGCGCGGTGGCCATGGGCGAGACGTCGGTGGCGCTGGGTCAACGTGTCCGTCGCCGATCTCTCTTGGCTCTCGCTCGGGCGCCCCGCGGGCGCGGGCGGGCCGGCGGCGTCCTGCCTCGCCGCGCCCTTGACCGAGAGACAATAGCAGGTGGTTCGCCAGACTGAGGGCGAGTGTTCTGGTTGCTCCCGCGTCGAGGAGTCTATGCCGTTCCTGACTGGCGGCGTCGCTGGCATCCATCGGGCCGTGACAGGGCTCACGGGCGTATCGTATCTGGGATGCAGTGCAAATTTCGTGGAGCCTCTCGCCCTCGGCACAGACAACCGCGGCTCCCCGCCCAGCGGCGCGACAATCTTTCTCCAGGGGCCGTTCGTGCCGCCTGAGAACGGCTTCATCTTCTGCGCCCCTCGCGCCTATGGCCTCGAGCCAAATCGCATTCGCAGTCGGCTGCTTCCCATGTGCATGCTTGTGGGCCGCTGGGCCGAGATGGCAGCGCGTGTGTGGGGTGCTTGGCTTTTGCGGCTTGTGCGTCTGGGGGCTTCCAACTGCGGCGCAGGCCCCCCTGTTCGCGCCGGGCTCCTCGGCGTGGGGAAGAAGGGCGACCGCGGGCTGAGGGTCTTCATTGACGGGCGTCGCCGCAATGCACTCGAGAAGTCTCTGCGAGGGGTCTTCCGCGAGTATGTTTTTGCCGCGGCCCCCCGTGGCGGTCGAAGCACCTGCCTCGAACGTCTCGCCACGCTGCCCCATGCCCCGCAGTTCGCGGAGCTGTTCTCCGCAAGTGGCGGATGCTAGTCGATCTCCGCGGACGATGCCGAGGTCTTCTTCTGCCTCATGCAGTGGCTGGGCGCTGGGGTCCAGGAGACCGTCCGCGGCTATGGCATCGGGGCTTGTGGGCTGCGGCGGCAAGGCGCTTCCTACGAGGCGCGCCACCTCCGCCGGCGCGGTCGTGGCGGGGTCGCGCTGGCCCTGGCGGCCCCCGCCGCGTGGCGCCAGGGGGCTTCGGGGGCGGCCCAGATCGCGCGCCAGCGCTGCTGGCGATCCGCGGGGGATTTCCGCGACGGGGGGTGGCTCTCCTATGGTCGCCCCCCCCCCCCCCCCCCCTCAGATCGAGTCGCGGGGGGCGTTCGCTCGGGCGGCCGCGTGGTCGCTGGCCTCTGCGCTGGCTCCGGCGCCTCGGACCCAGAGCGACCAGCAGCTCTTCGGCGTGTCGAGCGAAGGCGCCGGGCGCGCAGAGGTGCGGGCATCGGGGGGTCGGGGGGCATGATGAGAAGGCAACCCTTGACCAGCCCGATGGGATCGCCGGGGGGTGATCTCTTCAGGACGATTCGACGTGGGCGGGAAGATGGTGAATGTCCAGCAGCTCGGAGTGATCGCCGCGCGTGTCATCCTCGTCGGTGCTGCGTCGGTCGCTCTCATTGGGAGACTGGGCGGATGCTGGGTGCGCCATCTGATGTTTTGTCGGGCCGCCATGTGTCTCGTGGTCAGGCTCTGGGCGTGGCTTCGCGTTCTCGGCGTGGGCCCCGCGGCTTGGCGCCGGCTGCTGAATGCGGTGATTGACAAGCAGATTGGTCCTCCTGTTCCCAGTGTCCAGGAGCTCGCTCGACTCCGCGGTGGCGGAGCAGGTCTTCGCTTCGGACTCCGCCCCCTTCGACGGCGGAGTCGCGTCGGCCCCGCTCAACGTGGAGGGGGCGGTCGGGCTTTCAGCGCGAGCTCCTCGGCGGACAGGCGCGGTGAGACTTTACCTTGTGGGCCCCCAGACTCGGGCGAGCCTCTCGAGGTCCTGGGGGGCGGGGCCTGGGCTGACTCTTTGCGTCGCTCCTGGATCGGGCCCGCGCAGTTTACGACCTTGCCGTGCTACAGGTTCTCGGGGCGACGACGTATTAATGCGCGAGAGGCCGTCGCCCTTTGATCGCTGGTAAAGCGAGCGGTCAAGCTCGTGGACTCATGGGTTGTGCGTGGCGTTGCCGTCCGAGGAAGCTCGTCCATCAGGTTCCTTAACATGATCTTCGCCGCGACTCTCCCGTTCCCGCTGGTCGCAGCGCGCCCCCCCCACTTTTTCTGGATGCGGATTGCTTGCGGTCCCACGGGTCACCCAGCAGGAGGTGCCGAGTCGCGCAAGGCCAGGAGGTGCCGAGTCGCGCAAGGCCAGGCCGCGCCCCCCCGAGGCTGTGCGATCGGTTGCCGCCGTCGAGAAGCTGGGCCGTGAGTGTGCGTCGCTCGGTCTGTGGCCGCCGACCGCCCGTCTTCTACGACGCCTCTTGCGGGCCGAAGGCTCCCTCGGCGCAGCCCTGGGGCGCCGTGGATGGATCGTCGTCAGCCGCGACGTGCGGCGTGGCCTTCTGGAGGACCTCGCCGATCTCGGCGTGCTCGCGCAGGAGATCGAGCTCGCCGCGAGGATCAGGCCGACGGCGGGCTCTCTGGGGCCCTCTCACGGGACCCTCTCCCGATTCATGAGCCTGTGATCATGGTCTTATCGGGCTCGCCAGCGGCCGTGGGGGCTGCGGCGACGGGTTGGATCTCGTGAGGGCCCTCGACCATGTTGACGCACTTTGGGCGTGGGGACAGCCTCGGCAGTCTCGTCGGTGGGCGCTTCCAGAGCTGCAGGAGGCCCTCAGCTTGGGGCCTTTCGACGAGTGCGTCATGTGCGTCATGGGCTGGTGAGTGCGGGGCAGGCGATGGCGCGAGACTACCACCTTTAAGGGTCGGTAGGCGTTCTTGCCTCTGCTGGCAAGGCGACGCGACCGCAGCCATCAGCACCTCGCCCTGCGCGGCGGCATGAATTGCGAGGGCGGCGTCTGGCGGCGTCTGACAAAGGTGGCGGTAGAGTGCTCCAGCGAGTGGTGCGATGCGGTGCTCGGGCAGCTCGACATGTGCTGCCGCTCGCCGCGCTGCTGATGCCCCTGGGGATTTCCTGCAGCTGACTGGGGTTTCCAGAAGAAGGCCCGCCCGCGCGCCCAGGCGCAGTTTCGCGGAGGGCGCCTCTCACGGGCCGGTCGGGGCCTCCGAGTGACAGTGAAGCCAGCCAGTGCTTGTCGCTGTACCATCGTGCTGGACAAGTGGAGCCGGTGGCTCCAGAGTCGGGCCCCCCCCCCGCCCCGGCGACGTCGCGCGTGGCATCGGGCTGCTTAACGCAGCCTTCGTCGCCTACGCGCGGTGCCTCTACGTCGCGAAGGCACCATTTCTTCAGGGATCCGAGACCCCTTTTGGCTTTCAGTTTCGCTGGCCCCAGACCCGCGCCCAACTGCGCCTGGCGTGGGCCGTGGTGGCTCGCTGGCGCAAGTGTGAGCCAGTCGAGATGCGCGCGCCCATGCCTGGCGAGGCGCTCTTGGCCCTGGCCGTCGCTGCCCAGGCGCGGGGGTGGGGCGGGGCAGCGTCGTGCCTGCCCCTCGCTTCCTACTAGCGGCGGCCTGGCGAGGTCGACCAATGCCCTCAGGCGGCGCCTCGTCCCGCAGGGCGACCTGTGAGGCGACGTCTGTGCAGGCATGCTCGTGCTGGTCTCTGTCAAGACACCGGGCCGAGGGCCGCAGTTCCAGGGCGTCCTGATCGACGATCTTGCGCCGCTGAACTTGATGGGGCGCGTCGCTGCCCCCCCCTCGCCGACGGCAGCGTTGCGCCCAGAGCAGCTGCGTGGGCTGGCCCAAAGGTTCATCTACCTCGAGGGCCTCGACGACGTCATCAGCTCGCTCTGCGCCCAAGGGTCGCTGTGAGGAGGCGGGGCTATCCACCCCGTCCGCTCGCTTCAGACCCTGGGGCTGCTGCCGTGCCGTGCCGTGGGCGCCTGGGGAATGCAGAATCTATGCGTCACTATCTCCAGATGGGCGCGGCTGCCCTGTCCGTCGCCCGCATGTCGTCCGACCGTCGACAGCGTGTCCAGCGGCTGGCCCAATCCGCCACCGCCGCATGGGCGTTGGGTGGCTGTGTCACCGACGCGCCCAGAGGGGCGCATTTCAGACACGTGGCAATTACGGTAAGGTGGAGGCAGGTCGAGAGCTCTCTGTGTTTGGGGTTATGTGAGGCCGCGCGGCACAACCAGCGCCGCTGCGCCCCGACGCCCCTGGCCGCCCGTTGGCCAGCCTTTCCTCGCAAACTTCACGCGTTGCTATAGAAAACGAGCGTCGCAAGATTATGTGCGCACAGCGGCTATGAATGTAGAAGGAAGTGCTTTCTACAGCTTTCACGCTCTTCCCCCCCGCACTTGCGAACATCTTGAAGAACTGGTCGAGAGCATTATGTCTATGGGTCCCTGTGGGGCCGCGCGGCAGAACCATCGCCGCTGCGCCCCGACGCCCCTGGCCGCCCGTTGGCCAGCCATCCCTCGCAATCTTCACACATGGGGTGCTCTGAAAAACGAACGTCCGAGATCATGGTGATGATGCTGATGCTGCTGATGCTGATGCTGATGCTGATGCTCAAACTGACGATGGCGATCATTCTGATGCTTATGCAGATGAGGCTGATTATGATGGTGATTCTGATTGTGTTGATTCTGGTGTTGGTGCGGATGCTGACGAGGATGCTGCTGTTCAGCCGGTATAGTTCTGTGGACAACGTTGGTGTTGCTTGTTCTGATGACGATGATGCTGATTAGGACGACGATGCGGACGATGGTGGGGATGAGCAGGATGCTTCTGATGCTGATGATGCTGATGATGGTGATGGTGATGGTGGTGCTGATGTTGTTGTTGATGCTGATGATGATGAACGTGTGCGTGTGCGCGCGTCGTCCCAGGAGTACCGGGCTCTCGCCCGAGTTCTCCAGAGCGAGCCCGACTTCTTCAAACGCTACCTCAACGGCGAGCGGGGAAGGGTACATTTTGTGCCGCAAACATACGTTCTCTGTCTTGGCCAGGAGGCCATACTGTGGTTTTTCGGGTTCCAGAAAGGCAGAGACGCCCGTCTCGGAGAGGCATCCTGGTGGGAGTAACCCCCGCTCCCCACTCCCAGGGGTCCGGTGACGTTGGGGTGCACATCTCTCCGGAGGAGCCGCCCGCTTGTACAAGCCACGCTTTGCGCGTGAGCTTGCGACATCGGGATTGCAGGGTATGTTTGCGTGTCATCTCTCAGTTTCCCATCCCGCCGCCAGGGATACGTGACAGATTTTGGCTCATCCTGGCGTAGAGAGGCCTGCCCTTTCCGTCCAGCAGGCCGACTCCTCCCGAACCAGGCGTGACTTCCTGTCGGGTAGTTGGAGTTGGCCTGTGCAGAGCTGTGCGGTGCTTCCGAAAGTGGTCGATGTTGCGGTAGGCTCTGCAGGGCTGCGCCGTGTCATGCCGTGCTGCGCTATGCTGTTCAATGCCTGGTTATGCAAGGCCATTCTGTCTTGTGTTGTACTGTGGTATGCTGAGCAATACACTGGCGTCCCATGCGGCGCTACGCAGCAGTATCCTGTCACATGCTTTGGTATGCCATGCTGTGCCGTGCCAGGCGATGCGAAGCGTTTGCAGTGCTATGCGGTGCTGCTTTGTTATGATTTGCGCGACGCTGCGCACCGCTGTACTATACTGTACCTTGCACCTCTACGCCACCTCTTTGCGCTGCACCTTCCTGCAGCCGAATGGTACTGTCGCCCCCCACAGGTGAGATCTTCAACCTACTGCACGGAGATCTCTACGGGGAGCCCGTCCCCACGGTCAATCCGACCAGCCTGGGCCCCAGCGGCAGCCCCTTTCTGAACCGCCAAGAACCCCCGAGAACCTACTGAATCCCCTCCCTCCCCTCTCTCCTCGTCCACCCTCCTTTGTCTACTTCTCCCCCTCCTCACTTTTCCTCCCTCCTCGTCGCTTTCACCCTCCCTCCACCCGCCTCCCTCGCGCCCCCCTCTTCATTATCCTTCCCTCCTCATTCTCCTCTCCCTCCCTCTCCCTACTCCATCCTTATTCTTCATCTCCCTCCGCCTTCCTTTCTTCTGCCTCCTTTCTCCTCCCTCCTCCGTCCTCCTCCCCTCCCAGAACAAACTCATAGAAACGTTCGAAAGCTTCTAGATGTCTGTGAAGACTTAGTGAGACAGTTTTGTTGTTTTCTCTCCCTCTGTCTCTATCTCTCCCTCCCCTTGCATGTGTTCCATTTTAACAAGAATACCTATACGACCACCCGTTGGGTGATGAGGAGGTTGTGGGGGAGAAAGAACCAACTGAGGACAACTGCGATGATTGTGATGGTGGCTATGCTGGTGATGCGCTCACGAGTTGGCGATGATGCAAGATGACCATCAGGACACCAATCGGGGCACGAATTGGAATACCCACGGGACACCAATCGGGACACCAATCGGGACACCAATGGGGACACCGACGGGACACCGACGGGACACCGATGGCGGGATACTTCCGGCCACCGCCCGCGGACACCGACTGGACACCACGGCGGGACACCACGGCGGGCCAACCCAGCCCCCCCGCCCACCGGGGCAGGTTCGGACAGGTTCCTTGCCCCGCCCTGGCAACGGCGGAGTCATTCCCCTCGCCCGCCCACGCAGCTTCGCCTCGCCCGCACGCACGACACGAACCCGAAAGCGAAAGCGATTTCCGGGTTGGTGGCTTTCCGATCCAGTTCGATCGCGCCCACCAGCATCCGATACTCTCTAGCATGCTATGTGGTTCACTACGTGCTGCAATTGACGTGGTGCAACTTATGCGGTGCATTCTGTGTTGTTCAACCTACGTGCTGAAATGTTCGTGGTGCAGTCTATGTGGTGAAATGAAAAGTGGTTCAATCTAGGTTGTGCAACCTATGTTGTGCAATCTATGCAGTGCCATCTATGTGATGCGATCTAACTGCTATGCGAAGCGATGCAGCACAGCGCAATGCAAAGCAAGGCAAAGCAATGCTGAGCAGTGCACGTCAATGGAAAGCAGTGCAAAGGAACGCGTAGCAGTGCAGAGTGACGCAGGCCTAGACGACGACAGCGCGGTGACGCCCAGAGCGACGGGGCGGCGACGGCGACCACATGGCAGCCAGATCGACGGGCAGGCCCAGAGCGACGGGCGGCGACGAGGCGGCGACGGGGCGGCCACAGTGACCACGTAGCCGCCAGACCGACGGGCAGCCCCAGTTCCTTAGAAGCGTCGTAAGAACCCCTAAGGGCAAGCACTATTCGGAGAATGTGCACATTTCTTGTGACGTTTTCGTTTTGTTTTTTCTCTTCCTCTCTCTCTCTATATGTGTGTGTCTTTCTCTCTTTCTCTCTATCTCCCTCTGTGTTGTTGCTGTTGTTGGTGTGGCTTACCTCGTCAAGACGTTCCAACTCTGGGTCTTGATCCTCCTCTTTATCCTCCTCTGGCCACTGCTGTCCGAAGCGAGGCTGGGAGAGGAAGGAATGCAGGGCGCTGGTGTCGCTCAGGGCGGGCTCTGCGGACACCTTCCTTCCTTCCTCCCTCCTCGCGCTCCCCGCTTCCTCCTTCCCTGTTCCTGCTCCCTCCCTTTCTCCCTCCTCCCTTCGCTCCCTTCTCCCTCGTCCCCCTCCCTTTTCCCCCTCCTCTCCGCTCCCTCCTCCGTCTCCCCCTCTTCCCCGCTCCTTCCTCCCTCCCCCGTCCTTCGGGAGGCCTGCAGAGTTCACCGGAGGCCGCTGTGGTTTTAATGGGCGAATGCTAGCATACATTACCTCGCACGTCCCCCTCACCGTCTGCGTCGTCGTCGTCGGCGTCGTCGTCGCCGTCGTCGCCGTTGTCGCCGTCGTTCTCGTTGTCGTTCTCGTTCTCGTCGTCGTCGTCGTCGTCGCCGTCGCCGTCGCCGTCGCCGTCGACGTCGCCGTCGCCGTCGGCGTCGCCGTTGCCACCGTCTCCGTCACCGTGGCCGTCGCCACGGTCGCCGTCGCCGTCGCCGTCGTCGGCGCTGTCGCCGGCGCCGTGGTTGCCGCCGCCGCCGCTGCCGTCGTCGTCGTCGTCGTCGTCGTCGTCGTCGTCGTCGTTTTCGAAGTCCTCCTGCTCCTGCTCCTTCTCCTCTGATCTGGCTCTTGACGCTGCTCGTCTGGTACCCCTTCCCCTGCCTTACCTGGAGACACCTCGGGCTCTGAGGACTGCAAGGCTCTGCGTGAATTCTCCGACCGTGGCCATGCAGCCGTGTTGGTGCATGCTCATCTTGCTCGGGCTTCCTGGTTTTGTCCCACGGAGTCCAGCTGCTTCTCGAGGAATGCTGTCGCGGGCCTTCGGCCAGCGCCCGCTCGGGATAGCAAGGCAGGGAGCTCGACAAGGGCTGCTCGCGGCCTCCATCCCGCGTCGGAGGAGGCCCTTGAGGGCTAACGGATTTGGCTTTTGGCCGCTCGTTTCTTTGGTTCCTGGCCACAGTTTCGAGCTTCCATGGGCGGCGGCGCAAGCGGCCCCGATCGAAGGGGTGTGTGCCGCCCGTCGACTCTTTCTAGCCCGATGGCGTTCCTTCGGCGTCACACCGACATATTAATTCTATGTGTGCGCCCCGCCCCCCCCCCCCTGGGGCGACGCGCGCGCCGAGAAATCTTGTGGTAGAATCTCCGTGGGGGGCGCTTGCTGGCAGTGCCGCTCGGGAGACGATGTACTGCACGATGCTTGTACTACCTGTTCGGGTCCGACGCTCGCCTCCGAGGAGGACGCAGAAAGCATCGTAGCATGTCCTTCTGTGTCCACGTCGTTCCCACGGGCGCTTCCCAGTCGGCGCCCAGCACATCTCCTTCCCTCTGCCGCTGGCTCGCCCTCCCCGCCCCTTGAGGCCCGGACGCGCACGCGCCCGCCGAGTCGTCGGCCGCGACGGCCGAGCCGGCGGTGTGGGTGCCGCCGCGGCGGCCCTCCTTCGAGGAGGGCTACCGGGCCAACTGGGATAGGCTCCCGGGAGGGGGCAGGTCTGAGAGCTCGAGGATCGATGGTTCGTGGTTCTGAGGGCTGTGGCTCGGGACGTCCCTGGTCCTCTTTGGACTTCTGGCGCCTCCGGAGGCAGGGCCAGGCCTCGAATGGACCCTCCCCCCCCCTCCTCTCGCCTCGCTCCTCGTTTCTAGGCCTTCGGGGGGCCCTCCTCGTCGCCACGGCTGGGCGCAGCTCGAAAAACCTGCCAGGATGAACCCCGGGTGGGGTTTGGGGCTCGATTTCGAGCGAAGTTTGCCCGTATGCCCTGGACGGGATCGATGTCATGGAGGTTTGAGTGATCGATCGGTTTCGGGCGCTTTTCCTTTCGTTCACTTGAACGCCCCTGAGGGGGCAGGCACCGCACGATCGTGCACGAATGGGAGCCGAGGAGGGCACGGAAGAAAACCTAGAGGGGAGGCGGAGGAGGCCATGGAGGACGAAGTGCTTGGAGAACGGAGGAGGCTCAGGAAGGGCAGGCAAAGCAGGTGGGAACTGAAGATGGCGGAGTGGCAGGGGGAAGATCCGCAGGAGGAGAAAATCAGGACGAGGTGGTGGAAGAGAACGAGGAGATGCAGGAGGATGTTGAGGAGTGGGTGGTTGAGGAGGGGGAGCGAAAGGAGGAGCGGCAGCAGCTGGAGGAGGAGGTTGACGAGGAGTAGGGGGAGGAATCCAAGTGAGGTGCGAGGCGTTTAATGCGATGGTGAGGGGCTTCTAAGGGGAATGGAAAGGAAGAGGGCGCAGAGGAAAAGAGGAATTTAGGAGTAGTGGCAGGCGCCGAGTTGGCCAGGTCGAGCGAGTCAGAGGCCTCTGCCTATTCCCACCCCCCCTCCCATCAGGTTACAATCAATTGTGGCACAACCAGTTGTTGGGATTTGGAGCGCGGCTCCACCTTGCGAACGGCAGGCGCCTGCGCGCGGCCCCGCTTCCGACGACGTTGACGAAGGGAAAACAACGTGGGTCGCGCATGTGCGGGTGCGGAAAGCCTTCCGAGGAGCGCTGCGAACGCGAAGCGTGCGCCGCGCCGGCACAGCAACGCCGCCTTCGCTCACAAGCTGCGCGGCGTTTTGGTCGAGGTCGGCACATCGCCCGCCCTCGCGCGGCGCCGCGGACGCTGCCGCTCTGCTGCGATTCGGCGAACGAGCCATGCGCCGCGCCCGCGCGGGGACGCCACGCCCGAGCGAACGGCGCACGGGATTCGGGCGAGGCCGACGGTCGCCTGCTCGCAAGGGCCCCCCCCCCGCATGGGCAAGCGACAGATATGCGCCCCGCCGACGCGTCAACGCCACCTCCAGGCGAAGTCTGCGCCGCGTCGGGGCGGAGAGTAGACGTCTGTCCGCTCGCACGTCGACGACGCGGCGCGCGAAAGGCGTGCGCCGCGCCCAAGCGGGAGTCCAGTCCTCTGGAATAGCGCGCGCGGCGCAGGAGTGGGAGTGGCTTGTTGGCCTTTCGCGCGACATGTGCGCTTCGGCCCGCTCCAGCCCTGCATTTTGCACGGTGGACGACGCAATGTCCACATGCCCCCGTCTGTCACCTCGTACGTGTATCTTTCTTCCTTGCCCGACGTCTGCTGCCATTCGGGCTCAGGCGCTCGGCCGATTCTGAACAACGGTTGGGCGCATATGCTGACAGTTGGCCGTGCGCCCTCGACGCCACGCGGCGGCGGGTCTGCAAGGTGGCTGCATGGCTGTGGCCTCCTCGGCTCAGGGTTGGTGTTGCAGGCGAGCGAGCGCGAAACCAAGGAGACGCTCGGACAGGTGGCGGCAGCCGCGGGCAGCGTGGAGGAGGAACTGGCTCCGCTGAGGGAGTTCGTCGGCTTGGCACTGGCTGGGGAGGCGCTGCGTAATTTGCTGCGGACATTCCACGGCCGCCCCGAACAGGCCATGCTGAAGGACGCCCTAGCGGCGAGCCTCCGTGTGAGAGCTGGAGTGGCGTGACGCCGTTCCGCCACCGGGGGCCCGCGCCTGGGCGGGAACCCGCTACGCGCGCGAAAGTGCCGCGCCGCCGCCCAGAAGACTCGCGGCGATATGGAAGCCCGTGAGTGAGTGCGCTGGAGCCCTCGCCTGTTCCAGGCGGGCGCTGGATTGTATCGCGGGCCGCGCGGGCCTCAACACTGTGAGGTCGTACGTGCGTGCGGGAGAGGCGCTGCGCCGGTGGTTCCTGCGCGCGCGCGGCATCCCGTGGCCGAAGATTGTCGTGTATTTCATCGACGACGTGCGCGCCAGGGCTTCCGAGCCCTGTGGGCCGACGGTGCCCGACCAGGCCCTCCGCGCCCTTGCCTGGGTCGAGTGTGCACCCGGGCTCTAGGCTCTGCGCTCGGCCGTGGGTCCAACATGTCGTCGCGAACGCGGAGGTGCTCCTCGGCGCTGGCCAGGGTCGGACGATGAGGGCGGCCCGCTTCACCAGTGCGTTCATCGGGGCCCTGGAGCAGCTGGTCGCGGACGAGGGCCTCGTGGAGAACCTGCGCGGGGTGTCGTGGTTTTGCCTCGTCGACGTCCATGCGGTGCTGCGCTGCGACGACTGCAGGTTGTTCCCACCTCGGCGCCGGGGACGGCGGTCTGACGGCCGCGCTGGTGCGTGCGAAAACCTGCGGTGCAGGGCGCAAGATGCCGGAGCTGCCGCCAGCTGAACTGCGAGGACTTCCGCTTGACCCACGAGAGGCACTAGGAAGGGTAGCAGGGCCACCTGCTCCGCTACTAGAGTTATCAGCAGAGCAACAAGGGCAATCAGCTCAGCTACGAGGGCCACAGGCTGAACTGCGAGGACCACAAGCTGGGCTACGAGGGCCACAACTTGAGCTACGGGAGCCACTTGCAGAGCTACCCAGGCCACCTCCTGAGCTATCAGAGCTTTGCAACTCGCTTAGCTACGGGGGCCACAGGCTGGACAACGGGGGCCACAAGCGGGGCTACGAGAACTACGACCTGAGCTGTGGGAACCACTGGCAGAGCTACCCAGGAAACCAGCTGAGCTACCAGAGCTTTCAAAATACCGACGAGGGCCACCAGCTAAACTACGAGGATCGCAAGCACAGCTGCGAGAGCCACAAACACGGCTACGAGGACCTCCAGCTGAGCCAGGAGAGGCACCGGGAGAGGCACCAGGGCCACCTGTTGAGTTACCATAGCCACCAGGAAAGCTACGAGGACCACCTGCTGGGCCACAAGGACCACCGGCAAGGCTTCAAGGCAAACTGTCTGAGCTACGAGGACCAATAGCTGTATCGGGAGGAACACGCGCCAGGCTACGAGGACCACGTCCTGAGATACGGGAGCCATTGGCAGAGATACCCGGGCCACCTGCTGAGCTACCAGAGCGTCCAACAGACCTTCGAGGGCCACCTGCTGAGCTACGGGTGTCATGGGCTGGGCTGCAAGGGCCCCGCGCAGGGTTGCGAGGACCACCAGCTGAGCTGCAAGGGCCACAGGCTAAGCAGCGAGAGCCCCGAGCAGAACTGCGAGTGCTACCAGTTGAACTACAGGAGCCACGAGCAGAGCCTCGAGAGTTTGCAGCACATCGACGAGGATCACGTGCTGAGCCTCGAGTTCAGCAAGCTGAGTTACGAGGGCCGCAAGTAGAGCTCCGAGAGCCACCAGATGGGCCACAAGAGCACGCCTGGCTGCGAGGCGGAGCTGCGCCACCAGAGTACGCTGGACCACGGACCATGCTCGGCCACGAGAAGGCGCTGGGCTACCTTACCACTCTAGACTACGAGAGCGCGGTGTTTTTTGAGAGCACGCTGAGTCACGCGCCGAAGGGCGCACTGCGAGACTCATCGGCTTGAAGGAGCGGGGGGGTATCAATGGGCTCGAAGGCGTACTTGGATCCCATGATGCTTGCAGCGTGCGCTGGACTTTCTGGCCCAGCACCGCATCCACGAGCGCCAAGCTGGACAACCTCGACACAATAATTGTGCATACGAAGCGCCAGCTTGGCGCTATCTTCCAGAAGGCGGCCGAGTGCTTCCAGCACCGCGATTCGCTCCAAAGCGGTGGTTTGTTCCAGAAGGTACACGACATGGCAGCCGCAGATAGCGAGCTTCTTCCTGGCGCTGTGTGACGACGATGGTGCCGCCGATGTGATCTACTGCCGAATCGCAGACGCCCGGGTAAGGATGACAACCTGGAATTACCGAACGTCTTGAACGTAGGACGTCTTCAGCGCTACGGACAAGGTGCGCCGTGTACATCGTTGCGCGCAATGTTCGCCGTCCCCCTCATGAGGCGCAGCATCACTTTAATGACCGGGCCGCTCCCTCTCGCATTTTTTCTTCATTTTTGAAGGGAAAGCAGGATCGACGGAGGCCTCCTCCCCTTTGTGCTGTGTGTTGGCCGAAGATGGCCTGTGTGCTGGAGGTTTGGTGTTGGTGCAGCGGCGCGCAAGTGGGGGATGAGGTGGAGAGTGGCTTTGTGTGAAGGCGGGGGGGCTCCCTGGACGACAGCGGGCATTTCCTGGAGGCTTCTGGGAGGGCTTCGTGGCAGGTGGGAAGGGCTTGTACGAAGCCCCCTGCTTTCGAGAAGGCCGCCGCCCCTGGCCCCGCCCCTGCTTGTGCGCGCCGCCGCTTGGTGGTGGGTGGTGATCAGTTTCCTCGGCCCCTCGGGCCACCCGAGGGTTTCGGAGGCATTTAGGTACCAAAGCATGGTTTCGCATAGATTGGGGTCCCGGGTCGTGCTGATAGTCCGACATCCATCCGTCCACAAGTACATCCATCCATCCATACATCCATACATCCAAACATACATACATATTTGTATACGTATATATCTATATTTGTATATCGGTACACGTGCGCGGCCAAATTTCATTGGCTTGCGTTTGAGCGCGTTCGCCCGTGCACGCACTTTCTTTGTGCGCTCATGGTCAGCTCGCCCTTCTTCCCCCTCCATAAACGTTGAATTGTCCTCCGAATTTATACGCCATCCAGACCAGTCTGCTGATCCCTGGGCTAGAATTCCGCGTGGGCGATGGGTGCGACATGTCGGATCAGGTCGGTCCGTCGTTCCGACGGGAGCCCTCCCAGCCGCCCACGACTCGGCCCCCTTCACCGCCTTGCCCTTCCCTCGTCCTCTTCCCAGTTCGTCTTTACATGTTTTGTTCTTTCATCACTCCTGAGGTTCTGGTCGCAGCTCGGCCACGACGTGCACGCCAACGGCGAGCCAGACTCCGCAAGGGGCACCGCGGCGTCGCTGCGCCGGGTCTGGCAGCAGCCGACCAGCCCGCCCAGCCACGGGCCAGCGGGGCTCATCCGGGGCATCGCGCGCGAGATAGGCGCGGCACAGGGCGCCGCGGCCGCGTGAGCGACGGCTTTGCCTTGCCTCTCGGCAGCTTCCCCACCTCCTGGTCCACCTTCCTCTCACTGCATCATCTCCTCTTCCTCCTCCACCTCCGCCACCTTCGTGTCCTTCTACTCTTGGTGCACCTCCTCCTCCTCCTCCTCCTCCTCCTCCTGATGCTCCTCCTCCTCGTCGTCCTCCTCCTCCTCGTCCTCCTCCTCTTTGTCCGCGTCCTCCTCCTCCTCCTCGTCGTCGTCCTCCTCTTCCGCCTGGCTGCGCCTCGTCCTCCTTCCCCTCCTCCTCGTCGTCCTCGTCCTTTCTTTCACGGGAGGGGGCGCAGCATCGGTCAAACCGATAAATATGTGGACATGGCAAAATTCTCCTCCTCCTCCTCCCTCCTCCTCCTTCTCCTTCTCCTCCTCCTTCTCCTCCTCCGCGTGCACCTCCTACTTCTCATCCGCCTCCTCCTCCTTCTCTCTTCTCCCTCTTCTCCCCCTAAGTTACGTGCGCTCCTCCTCCTCCTCCTCCTCCTCCTTCTCCCTCTCCTCCCCCTGATGATAATTATGATAATGATGATGCTGCTGCTGATGATGATGATGTTGATGATGATGATGCAGATGCTGATGCTGATGATGCTGATGATGGTGATGATGATGATGATGCTGATGATGATGACGATGTGATGGATGTGATCTCACAGCAAGTACACTTGGTGCCAGCGTGAGGGATGGCTGGCCGACATTGTCCCGGCAGATATCAATGACAACGCTGAATTGATCAACGGTCCTTGTCAGGAACAACCTAGATATTTGCGTAAGTGTCGATCTTCAGAATGTTGACCGCAGCAGGCTCACAGGCGTTTGGCTCGACCTGCCCATGGTGTACAAGATAGGACTCACGTGCGCGTATTTCAAGGCCTTCACTGGACTGGGGGAAGTCAACCTAGGCATGTTAGCAGACATTGCAGTCCAGCAAGATATTGGGTAAGTTCCGTTCCTGTGGTTGGTGATGTCAACCTGGCTCCGTCGAGAATCGAGAGTTTTGATTTCCTTAGCAGGGCCTTCATGAGGCTTGTGGGCCCGCAGGTCCCAACCTACCGAACCAAGCTGACCCAATCGGTTTTGGATTATCCCCTGTGCTGCGAGTCCCTAGGGGAGCGCGTCCTGGACGTCAGGACCTGCGATCATTACCCGCTGTCTCCTCACAGGCCAGTATGCCTACGTGTGCCAAAAGTGGATCATAATTCGGTGCCAGTGCTTGTCAAGCCACAGGTGCAGGCACCCGACGGACCCCAGTCTTAGGACAGACCTTGGGTTCAAAGTGAGCGAGCAGTTCGCTGCGCCGAAGACGTGCTCGCCGATGCCACCCTGCCTCCCAGTAAGCAGCAACGGCGGAGCTTCTTCTCCTCCACCTACTTCTACATTATAAAGGACCTCGAAGAGAGCCTCAGCCTCATTATGTATACCCCTTCTCAGGCATAGCAGTACCCCAAGAGGCAGCCCTCCCACCATCAGATGGGTTAGAGCCGCACGTAAAGATACTAAGCTCAGAGCCAGTTGGAAATCACTGGAGCCCCCCGCCTCCATTGGCTTAAACATCGGCTGGCGGACATGAGTAGAGTTTGTTTCAAGCTGGAGTATGACCAGCTAGTCTACATCGTGGACAGCCTGCAGGGACAGCCAGGCGAGTTTAACAGCATTCTCTCTCTGCAGGACTCCCTGCAGGCGACGCAGCAGGTCGGAGAGGTGATTTTTGCTGACGGCGCCGCAGGAGTTTTACCAGGAGGCACCGCCAGGGATCTTGTGTCCAGGGATCTCTTCGAGGCGGAGTCGGTTGGGCCCGCGAGTGGACCAGAAGTTTGGAGACTTGAGGTCCCGCGCCCACCTACATCAAGGGCTACTTGTCTGGTCGACCAACACAAATCTTAGAAGCTGAAGCAAACAGACTTGTTGGGATCACCGACGGACCCAAGGAGAATCCCGTGCCCCAGGACATCGACGACAGGATCGCCTTGGGCCCCTCCACGGCAGGAGGTCTCCAAAAGCTTCCCTGCTAGGATCGCGTCCACGTGGGGCGGGGTGCGCCCCGGACGCTGCACGCTCATGGCCGAATACGAAGGTGATTTGATCGCAGGGCTGCCTCTGTTCATAGAGACAATGGGCACCGTGCCATCTCAAATCCAGAGCACTATCTCCATCCTCATCCTCTGACGCAGGCAGCAGGACAAAGGGGGAATGAAGCCAGCCGTGCGATCAATAGGGATGATGTCAGGACCTTGCCGAGCGTGGGCCTGGATCCGCCAGGAAGCCGCGAGAGAATGGGAGTGCAACTGTCGCCGAATTTTCCTTGCCCTCCAGGCTGGCCACTCCGTCGTGGAGCTGTTTTTTTGAAGCGGAGCATGGATTTGCGGAATCTGTAGGAACAGTAGCCTGCATCCTTCAGGTATAGTGCTGTGCGGCTTCTGCAATCACCACGAGCACATCAACAGGATCAAGCTAGCTGGACGGGTTTTCAAAAGTGATTCGCCAGCTAGTCTATTGCGCATCATCCTCAGCATCTGCGCCAGGCCTGGACGGGTAGACTTTCATACTGTGGTTACACACGTTGGAAAACGGTCTGCAGGATTGCAGCAGGATGTGGGCTTCCAACCGATCTCATCCAGATGTGCACCCTAGGGCGCTCGACATGTGGACCAAGGTCAGGCGGAACTCATGCCTCTACATGTCCATGCATGGCATCTTCATCAAGTCTCACAGCCCGAAGGTGAAGACAATAGTCAGCCGACTCAGCGAGGGCACCATCAGTTTGCTCCAGCGTATCCATGATGACCTTGACAGCGAGGTTACGCCAGCAGAGACTCACCTCCTCGCCTCCTCCAACGAGTTGAGAAATAACGGCATGGCCAAACGCAGAGATTGCGCAGGCAGACCAACCGTGGTTGCGAGATGGCTGCAGGCAGACACCAGTGCAGGTGGTGGCGAGGACGACTCGCCATCGCCAGACTCGACAGGATCAAGAACCGAGTGCGCAGGCTCGGAGCTTGCAGAGAGCTGGGGGAGATTCGAGGAAGGTTTACAACGCGGGCATCTGCGCAGCGACAACGTTTGGCCACGAAGTGACTGGCTTGGACACTACCCAGCTAGCAATAGCGCAGCAGCAGTATTTAAACAAAGCAGGCCCCCGCTGTCCCACCCGCAGCAGGACCCCCAGTTTCATTTTCTTCGGGGGCCCGACTTGGGAAAGCAGCTGTAGGCCCAGCCTATTTGCGGCACTTGTTGGTGCAGACGGCCGCCGCCAATCCAACCCAGGCCTTGTTTCCGCTCTGCGCGCTGAAAGCCAGGGGGGGGGGGCGGGGGGCCTCGTGGGTTCCGCCCCGAAGCGCGTGGCTTGGGTCCGATGCCCCTTCTGGGACATGGCTTCGTTCCTCCTCAGGATGGGTTAGAGTCTGGTGGCCTCACTGCTTGTTTTCGAAGCCTGTGATGGGCCGCAGTGCCCTTTGGCCAGTTTTTTTCGCCGGCCTCTAGCCGTTGCAGGATGAAGCTAGATTGGGGGCTATGTCTGGTGAGCAAGCCGCGTCCGAGGTCGGACGTCTAGGTTTGAAAGTTGACGCTAGCGATGCGGAGGCCGTGCCCGCGAACCCTCCGCCTCGCCGTGCAAGGGAAAAGATGCCTGCTAACTCATTCAGCGCGGGGCTGTTGGGCCGAGGTTCGCGCGCGCGATGCAGGCAACGACCCTCAGTTGTGACTGCGCGCGCGGTGCGCCCCCCGACTGCGTCCAGCATCGCATTGTTGGCTGTCCGCTTTCTCGGCCCAAGGGTTGCGATCCCAGCGTCCACCCAGCGCGCTGGGGCGCTGTCTTCGCTGTTGTGGCCATGAGGAGAAGAGGTTTACGCCGCAATCCAATGCAGAGTTGGCAGCGTGTTCAGACATGCACCAGGAGCTGCCGAGCACCTCGCTGCTCTTGCTGCTTGCCGTGCTTCCAGTCTCGTCTCTCACGTTCATGCCGCCAGTCTGCCATCGAGCTGCGCGCCTAGACCACGTTCCCAAAGAGGGGTAGTCCGCCCCCATGGGTCGCTCCTGTTCCAAAATCAAGGCCCGCCAAAACCTCCAAAGAAAATTCGAGAGCCCCCAGCGTCGGGAGTTTGTGGTGGGCAACGACGAGGCCGACAAGGCCGCCTAGCAGGCTGCGCAGTTTTCAGCAGACAGAGTGAAGCAGAGCTGAGGTTTCGCAAACACGGCACCACGCTTCTGCGCAGAATCTTTAAGCACCTTGCCTCTGTGCCCCCGAGGAGGCAGGCCCGCGCCCCTGCGAAAGGGAAGAAGGGCATGGGGGTGAGCCTGGCAGTCCCAACCCTCCCATCGGTGCCGGTTCCGCTCTCCACCTGTGGGGCCCAGACCTCCGTCCTCCTGGGCCTCCCCCTCCTCCTCCTCCTCATCCTCCGCCCTCGGCCGTCGCCGCCTCCGGCCGGGGCCTGAGGCTCCCTCCGCGCCTCGTCGGCGGCGCGGGGCCGCGCGGGCGCTGATGACAAGAGACGTCGCTCATCCTCCGTCCTCGGTCGACGCCCTGGGGGCCGCGGGGGAAGGCCGGGGAGCGGTCCGCACTCGGGACTGCGTCAGAGGCTGCTGGCTGTGCGCTGATTGCCGAAGTCCGAGCCAAGTCAGCCCGTCATCAGACTGCTGGTGCCAGCGAAGCATGCCCAGGGTACTGTAAAGCCAAGGCCGCGCTAGCTGAGAGTCTCTGAGGCCACGCGCTTCTCTGGCTCGGTTATCTCTAGGCAATCTGAGCACCGTCGTCCTATGCCAGAGATGTGGAGCCTATACTGAGCGCGGTTCGAGTCTGTCAGGAGAGTGCAAGCTGAGCCCCCCCGAACAGTGGTGCAGCTTCGAGCTTCGCCAGAGCTCTTTGCCTTCAGCACCCTTAGAGTGGAAATCGTTGTCCACTGATTTTCAGACCCCCGGTCCCTCTGGCGCAATTCTATAAGCAGACAACTCGAGCTGCCCAATCCCGCGCCTCAGTCGATTTTTGGTCGCAGGATCCTCTTCAGGAGGCATGGTGCCCTTCTGTCGCCGCGATGGGGTAGTCGCGGTGGATAGGTCGCAAGCCTGGAGCCTCACGGTTTCGGGTTTGGGTCGGGCTGGCCAATCCTTTAGCGTTCCTCATTAGCCAAGTAGTGGTCCTCCTCCTCCCTCGTTGCTCCTCATCCTCCTCGCAGCTTGGCAGACGAGGGCAGGCTTCAGTCTAAGCCTAGAATCTCTGCCCCCTCGTGGTGGCCAGCGCCGGTCGGAAGGGCGGGGAGGTCAGGTCTTAGGCAGAGGTCGTAGGGAGCGACACCACCTCCTCCTCCTCCTCCTCCTCCTCCTCCTCCTCCTTCTGGCTGGGAGGCGGGCTGCGCAGTGCACTGCGTTCTTGAGTTTTTTTGTTGTGCAGTTTTTCCAACCCGTCTCGGGACCTGGGGGGCCCCAGGGCTTTCTGGAGGGCTCTCGGGTTTTTTTCCGGGGGACCGCCTCTTCGGCCGTCTCTCTCGGCAGGCGACCCCTATTCGCCACGGGTTGGCACGCGGCCCAGGAACACGGGCCAGGATGGACCCCGGGGGACAGGAGCCAGAAGGAGCGAACAACTGGGACAGTCTGAAATCCTGGGGGGCCTCGTCTCCCCCCCTTCTGCCAAATGGACCTCCATCTCCCTCGCTCCATTTCCTTCTATCGCTCCGATGCGCTCCCGTCTTTTCCTGTCGCTTCCTTCTCCCACCATCTCCCAACCTTTATCTTCCTTGGCCGGATAACGGAAGAGGTTTGGAACATTGTTTGGGGATTTGCTTGAGGCGGATTTTTGTTCGAAGGTCACCAGCTGCAAGGGATCAGGCGGGATGGTCGTTGCCAGCTTCTCGGCTGCCACCACAGCCGTGCTCAGACTTGCCGTCTTGAGCGCTGTTGCCGTCTGTATCGTATCTTCCTGTCCTGCTTCCCTTCTCGTGCTCATACTTGTCCTCGTTCACGTCCTCCTCTTCCCGCTGTCGGTCTCTCGTCGATCGCCAGTCGTCGGCCGTCGGACGTCGGTTGTCAATCGGCTGTCAGTCGGTTGTCGGTCGGTTGTCAGTCGTCGCCGTCGTCGCCGTCGTCGTCGTCGTCGCCGTCGTCGTCGTCGTCGTCGTCGTCGCCGTCGCCGTCGCCGTCGCCGTCGTCGTCGCTGCGCTTCTTCGCTCCGGCCGCCGCCCTGCCCCAGCCGGGCGAGGCCCACGCTCGCCGCCACCCCGGCCCCCCCCGACGCCCCCCCGACGCGCCGCGCCGCCCGCGCCGCTCGCCCGGCCCGCCACGCGGCGGCGGGGCAGCGTCCTAGGCAGCTGCTCGCGTCGCGAGCAAGTCACGACGGGAGGCTTTTTTTGTCGGCGGCGTGCCCAATGGGAGGGGAAACCTGAGATCCGGCCTTGCCAACAAAAATCAAACATAGCAAAAAATCACGCCCCAGAACCCTGGACCCCATCTTTCTGCGTCAATTTTCGAGCTGAATCGATCTGTGAGGGCCCCAGGGCCCGAAATCGAACGAAAACGCCTGCTGTGAAATAGTTGCAACGCCAGGATCTCAGGGAAGGCAGAGGGGGGCGGGCCTTTCCAGAGAGCTCGGAGGCTCTTCTGGCCTTCTGAGCAGCTCTCTACAGGCTCCAGAGCCAGAGTCCCGCCGCCTGCTGATGGGGCCTGCCTTTTTTCACTTCCCCCCTCGTCGGGTCGCCGATCGTGGCCGTTTTCGGCACTGGGAGCACTCGCCGGGCCCTGGGAGCCTCAAAAACTGCTCGGGGTGAAGATCCGGCCTCGGGGAAAGGGTCCGGACTTCCGGGGACCCTGTATGGAACAGATCACGACATCGGATGTCTGGGGTCCCAGTCCTCCGACGTCGTGATGCCTCCGATGCCGGCGTGCTTTCTTCTCGCAGTCAGGGCGCCCTCGGGCTCTCCTGTGGCTTCCTGGGGCGCTTTCGTCGTCGCGGCCGGAGCCGCTCCGAGACTCGTGGCCAGAGCGTGCCCCGGGCGAGCTCCAGGGGGCGGGCTTGTGAGGTCGAGGAGCCCAGGCGTCCGCCGCCTTGGACGGCTCGAGGTGGAGCTTAAGCCGCAGCCGCCGCGCGCCCGCTTCGGGCCCCAGGGGTCCGCCCCAGGGGTGGGGCCGAGGGCCCCGGAGGCCCGCGAGTCGAACGGATCAGACGATCGCAAACCTGGATTAAGGGGGCGTGGATTGGCGACGTGTCCCGTTTCCATGGGAAGTCGCGGATTTCAGCCGCCGAGCGAGGCGGCACCGGCCGCATTTTGGGGAGGGCACCTCCCCCGATCCATGGGTTTGGCGACCGCGCGCCAAATCCATGGATCGCTAATCCATGTTTGCGCGCCCCCCGAACGGAGTCACGGCGGCGGTCGCGGGCGCGGCGACCCCGCGGGCACCACCTGAGGGCGGGGTGGCACGTCATGGGAGCCTGGTGTACCCTCAGAATTTGTCTTCAGCGTCGCTTGGCGTCGACTGGCGTCTGGAGTCGATGAGATAGCGCCGATCAAGCGTCGGCTGGCGTTTCTTTAGCGTCGATTGGCGTCGATTGAGCGCCGACTAGCGTCGATTCGCAAGAGCTGACAAGATGGTATGGGAGGCTCCCATGAGTTGCCACCTTGCGAGGGGGAGTCGCCCGCAGTGGAGGGCAGCCCCAGGGAGAGCGCCGACTCCTGGGTCCGCTCGGTGAGGCTCGGCCAGCGCTCAGCCGTTCGGAGCCAGGTGCTCGGCGGCGAGCGACGGGGAGGGAAGTGCTAACTCGGGCGTGTCCCCCTACAGAAGTAATATTCAAAAATAGTTCCAGAATAGTCCCGGGACGATTTGTTAGACCAATTTTTTTTCTCTGACAAGTTTTGATTTTTCCGGAAAAATCCGCCTGTATGAGGACATGCCCGACATAAGGGAAGTGGGAAGGGGCGGGCCTTCTCAGAAGGCTTGGAAATCCCCCGACCTTCTGAGAAGTTTTCTGAGCATTCCCCGAAGACGCAAAAACTTCTCTCAGAAGGTGCGAGGGCTTCTGAGAAGTCCCGCCGCCTTCTGAGAAGGCCTTCTCCTGCTCATTTCCCCCCCCTGCCTCGCCGCCGATGGGCGGCCCTTCAACCGGGAGGGGGGTGGGCGAAAGGGGGCTGGGCCCGCCCCCTTGGCTGCCTCGACCCGCCCTGGGTCCTGCCAGTCCTCCTCAACAGGGGAGGGGGGGAGTGGAGGAGCGGCTGGGGGACGAGAAGAGAGGGTGAGAGATGGTGCGGGAGAGGGGAGGCGGGCGTGGAGGGAGGCCAGGGTGGAGTGGGGAGGCGGATGAGAGGGGAAGGGGATACAATCAGAGGAGGAGGGGGAGCGGAGGGGAGAAGGGGGGGAGGTTGATGAGGGGAGGGGGAGGTCTTCCTGCTGCCCTCTCTCTCTCTCGCTCTCTCTCTCTCTCTGTCTCTTTGTTTTGTCCCCTCTCTCGTGTTTATTTCTCTCTCTCTCTCTATAATCTCTCTCTCTCTCTTTATCTTGTCTCCTCTCTAGAATTACCGAGTATGAGTGCGAGTCTCCACTCTCCCCTGACAATGCCCCAATGTTTACCCACCCCTCCTGTGTTTGGCTACTTGCACGTGCTTGCGCTCATAGTCAATTTCAGGTGTTCATTTGCTCGGAACGTCTTTGGTCCTTCACGATGGTGCTCTCGCTGCAGCGTTATCCACAGTTCATGATCGCTGCCTTGCTCCCGTCGTTCACAAGGGCGCTCTCGCCCGAGCGCGAGCCACATTTCTGGATCCCTCCTCCTCCTCCTCCTCCTCCTCCGCCTCCTCATCCTCATCCAGTTCCTTTGTCGTTGCCGTTGTCTAAGCGTCATTCCGGGAGCAAGGTCTGCTGGACATCCCAGCCGGCGGACAGAATAAGATTACAACGCAGCGGGAAAGGACGGGTGGGAGGAGGAGGGAGGAGAGGGAGGAGGAGGGAGGAGATGAGGGAGGAGGGAGGAGGGAGGAGGGAGGGTTGGAGTGCGGAGGGAGAAAGGACGGAGGACGGATGAGGGAGGGATATGATGTCAGACGTGGCGCGAGCGCGCCTGGCCATGCTTGCCTTTCTTCTTTTTTTTTTCTCTCTCTCTCTCTCTCTCTCTCCTGTCGCTCCTCTGGGTATCATGAGCAACTGCTCGTTATGCGTGCCTCGCTCATCTCTGCCCAGGTAGCCTGCCACTGTGCACCCGCCGATGGTTCCTTTGTACTTGGTTTCCGAGTCACCGGGCCTGGTCTGCGCACGTGCTCGGATGGCCGCTTTGATTCCCGTGGGCTCCCAGGTGGTCCTATGGCCTCCCCCGACGGCCCTGGTTGCCGCGCTCTTTCTGGTGGCCGATTGCATTCCCAGGAGTTCTTGTAATTACATGGTGGCAATCGTGTACGTGATGGCTTTGCGCGATCGTCCCCTTCCTCGTGCCCCTCCTTCTTCTCCCACAGTATTTGCGCTGAAACAAAAAATCCTAGGAATTCTTGTGAACTTTCATGACTCCCTTCCCCACTGGCCGTGATTGCCACGCTTCCACCCTGCCAGCTGTCGAGGAAAACCAGCATCTAGGGTTAAGTCGGGCATGTCCCTCTACAGGAGGAATATTCAAACATAGTCAAACAATGCTCCGGCGACGATGTGTTGCTTATTGTTCTTAACTTTCGAGATTTTCATTTATAAATATGTATATATATATGTATATATATATATATATATTTATGGACCATGTTTGATTAGTCGTCCAAAATCGGACTGTAGGGGGACATGCCCGACCTAAATCTAGGGCCACAGAGCTCACAGGCCCGTCCAGCGATGGCCCCCTTTTTTGAAAGGGAGCCGCCGCCCTCCATCCGCTTGACCTTGCGCACTTTCCAACCTTGTGGTCGCTGGGAATTCTACCGCGCTGCCTCCGAGAATGCGCTGCACATGCCATAATTCGGTAGCAAGGTCAGGGAAGCTCTCGAGCGACATTCAAGCACTCAAGAAGGAGTCGCCCTCCGTCCGTGCAGCTGTTGGCAGCCAATGCGAACATGCGCGTCGCTGGGGCTACAACCACGCTTACACAAAACACGACTGGCCCTCCGGCCGTGCCGCTGTAGGAAGTTTTTTTTTTGCGACGAATGGGCGCGGTGCGCCGGCCATCGCCACATCTTGACCCACCCCCCGCACTCCGTCCGCCGAAGTGTTGGAAGTT